ATATATTATTTATACAGTTATAAAGATTTACAAAATTAATAATATTTTTTATTATTTTTAGAATTTTTAGAAGCTAAAATGTGGGTTGAAAAAAATTTAGTATTTTCTTCAAATAGAGATGTTAATTTATTTGAAGTTACAATTAGGGTATTAGGAGGTCTATTATCAGCATATCATCTTTCAGGTGATAAGATTTTCTTAAATAAAGCTGTAAGTTTCTCTCATGTTTCAAAATTATAACTAAATTAAAAATTAATTAAAAAAAATTAATTATAAATAATTCTGAATCATAGACAGAATTAGGAGACCGTTTAATGCCAGCATTTTCTACTTCATCTGGCGTTCCTTATTCCGACGTAAATCTTGGAACTAAAACTGCACATGGTCCTAAATGGGGTCCTGATAGCAGTACAAGTGAAGTTACTTCAATTCAATTAGAATTTCGTGATTTAAGTCGTAGTACAGGAGATCCTAAATTTGAGGTATATGTGAACATATTTCAATCATAAATATTTTATTTGTATTCTATAAAAAAAAATATGCAAATTATTATTCTTCAGGAAGCAGTAGCAAAAGTGTCGGAACATGTACATCAATTAGAAAAATATGATGGTTTAGTACCCATTTTTATTAATGCTAATACTGGACAATTTAGAGATCATTCAACAATTACACTCGGTGCACGCGGTGATAGTTATTATGAATATTTACTGAAACAATGGCTTCAAACAGGAAAGACTATTAATTAGTTAGTATTTTTACCATAGTTATTATTATTACTATGGTTTATTAAATTTTTTTTTCTTATGATATTATTTATAAATTTATGATAATCATTTAAATTTTTTAGCTTACGAGATGATTATCTATTAGGTATTGCTGGAACTCAAAAGCATTTGGTAAAACGTACAGCAATTAATAAATATCTTTTCATAGCAGAATTAGTTGGAGCAAACAAAGAAATAACACCAAAAATGGTAAATTTTAAAATAAAAATATTTATCATAATTTAATATTATCAATAATGTATTATTAATAATTATTATATATTGTATATACTTCATAGGATCATCTTACATGTTACTTAGGAGGTACTTTAGCTTTAGGAGTACATCATGGTTTACCATCTGATCATATGAATCTTGCTAATGAAATTGTTAAGACTTGTTATCAAACATATGCAATTCAACCCACATTCCTTGCTCCAGAAATTACTTATTTTAATATTCAGGTAATTATAATAATAATAATAATTAATAAAGATTAAAGTATACAGATATATTATATATTTAGAATACAGATGGAGAAAAATCAATGGATATGTATGTAAAGATGAATGATGCACATAATTTACTCAGACCAGAGTTCATTGAAAGTATTTTTTATATGTGGTATTTTACTGGGAATAAGACTTATCAAGATTGGGGATGGCAAATATTTCAAGTAAATATTTCAATAATTATATTTTCCTATGAAATATATATACTTTTATTGCTTTATATATATTTATTGCTTATATATATTATATTTTTAATCACATACACATATACACACACATACATACATATATATATAAATATATATATATATATATATAATTTGTAGGCTTTTGAAAATTATACGAAAGTAGAAAAAGGATACACCAGCATTGGAAACGTGAGAATTGTTTATAATACACCACAAAAGGATATGACAGAAAGTTTTTGGTTTGCTGAAACTTTAAAATATTTGTACTTGTTGTTTGATGATACAAGACAATTAATAGATTTAGATAGATGGGTATTTAATTCTGAAGGACATCCGCTACCTATATATGAATCGTAATTAAATCTGACCAGATAATTTCATATATGGCATAATTTGTATAAATTTGCACCTTTAGAGTCTTAAACATCTTTCGAGGCCAGTGAATAGATATCTTAACATCGTATGCAAATAAGAATTAATCGAATTAATGTACTTTAAAATAGATTTTTAGATTAATGATATTCTACAAATAGTTCTTGAACTACATTTTCATAAAAATATTTTTCATGCATTATTCTATAAAAAAAAGAAGCATTTACTAATAATTAATAATTATTTGTGCTCAATTTTTTTACTAATTTTCTAATTCAAAACTATATATTTTTAAATTCATCATTATAATCTATAATGATAAATAATTTAAAAATATAAAACGTATTTAAAAGATCATATTTCTAAACAGTGTATAAAAATTGTTGAGTACAATGTTTAAAAAAGAAATTTAAAAAAATTATTCTCTTATAGTCTGATATTAAATCCTCTTCTTTTTATCTCAAGTAGGAACACTTACAAAAATTACAAATCATCTATATTATTTATTATAAAAAAAACTATTATAAATTGATTAAACAAGAATTTTAAAAATAATATTAATTTAAGATATCTTCAAAGATCCTAGTCAAATCAAACTTTCTTTTTTGTTAATAAATATAGAATATTTTATTCTTATATATTTTTATATTTAATTATTTTAGTTTAATAAACTATTAGTAAATGAACATGACATTAAAAAATGAAGATTTCTAAATAACTATTTCTAAATAACATATATCAATTTTTTAAAATATTAAGAATATTCTCTTATCTTTTAAAATTTATTATAGAAATATTTCTATAATATAAAACATCCTATATAGCACATATACATATAACATAAATATATGTATATATAGTGATATACTAAACACTTTGAATTATTACTCAAAATTTTAATTCATTATTCCTCTTATAATAATTTAAATCTTATTTATTGCACATTTTTTGTATAAAATATTAACAAATATTAAATGTTTACAAAAATTTTATAGGTAATATTGAAAAAAACGAGCAATCAATAAATTAAAATACCAAAATATATATCATAGAAATATATCACAAGAATATGTAGGCGTTTTATTTATGAACAATTAATGAGATAGTAGTAAGCTATCATCATTTAATCAAAATATTAATGTAAATCTAAATCAGAATTGTTATCAAAGTAATTAATCTATAAAGATAGTAAATTTTAAATTTTACTTTAAAATATTATATGATAGAAATTTAAATTATTCACACACAACATGCATACATTTTATATAGTTTCTGAGATATAATATGTAAATTAAACTGATTTTGTTGATGATTAATTTATATATATATATAGAATATTTATATAATATATGGTATTCTAAAGAAAAAACTTTTTTAAGAAAATTAAAATTTTTAATTTTAATATCTAAAAATGTAATTTATCTTAAGAAAAAACATAATAAAATTATTTTTAGACATGCATTTATTCATGCACTATAACAAATAAATTTTCAATATTAATATTATTTTAAAAAAAATTAAACATTAGATAAAATTATTAAAAATAAACATAAATTGCATTCTTGTAATATAAAAATATTTGTTTGGCAAAACTTCATTTTTTAAATTTATTGTTGAATTTTATATTTATATTTTGTACTGTTAATTATATCATATAACTTAATTTATTCTACTTTCCAACAAGTGTAATTCATAAAAATATAAATAATATTAAAAATAATGAATAATTAAGTTAGATAAATATATTACATTATTATATAGATTATTAAATTGCACTTTATGTTACTAATTTCATTATTTAAATATTTTATTATACTTGCAAAACAATTGATACGATGCTCGTACTTTAGATTTTTAAAATATTTTAATACAAAAATCGAAAAATAAACCATATGAATATTTGAAACATTTATTTAAAGAGAAATATATTTTATTTGTTGAATTTAATTTCATTATATATTATTATGATCTTCAAAAATAATTTATTTATATTTATATTATATATCAATGAGACATAATTTAACATTATGAAATACAGAATTTGAAAATTTTTAATTATTGAATTTCTTACATTACTCTATTTTTTGTCAATTATTTATAAAAATAATAAATTTATATAAATGAATTTCGTAAATTAATTGATATGGATTTTAAAATCATGGCAGTGCCTTTAATTTGTACGATATCATTTTGAAATATATTTACAAAATATATATTTTTTTTTTACTAAAGAATTTAATAATTTTATCGTATTATTCTCAATTTTAAATGTAACAACTGCATATATCAAATTTATATATTGTAATTTTTGTACATTTTATTTCTTATATAATATTTTAAGATTTTATGCCATTTATAAATATAAAATGTTATTTTCAAAAATATTTAATCTATTCAAGTATTTTATTCTATAATGAATATGTTTTATAATTTCAGTATGTAAATAAATTTACGGCACTTAAGCAGTCTTTAAGAATAATTAACATTATGACTTTTCATTCTTAATTTTCTGATGGAATAAAATATATGTATATGTATATATATGTAGTATAATTTTTAAAAGGAAAAAATTGCTATTTAAAATTTATTTAATATTAAACTATTTTTAGTGCCTTGTTTAAATAATGTATAAACATTTAGAACTAATCTAATATCACTATGTAAAAATAGGAATGCACGAATAAGATTATCATGCGGAATTTTTTTATAAAATTAAATTCATTGTTAATAGTAAATTATAGCCAGATAATTTTTGTTAAAAACTTATAAGAATAATATATAAAAAAATAATTTTTATAAATTAAAATGAAATTTAACAGTCTATGAAATGTTAATAATTACTATTGTTATAATTATAAAATCAATTAATTGTTATATACATTTTGAATAAGCAATATTAAGATTAATTGATTCTTTTATGTCAAAAATAATGTAAAAATTTGTAAAAGATTTAAAAATGTAATCTATATATATAATATATATATTATATATATATATATATATCTTAACTAAAAGATTTCAATTTCTTCATTTTCATATACTTCATAAATATCGCACAATACAAAAATAATTATTTTATAAAAATATCAAATTTTTCAATTATCTTATTGAAATTTGTTCGTTTTTAAAATATGTTTTTAACATATTTCATTCATTTTCATTTAGTAAATAGAAATCGGAGATAAGAATAAGATTTTTTTTTAAATACGAAGATTTAATATTCGCTTAAAAAATTAAAACTCGATTATTAAAATTCCATTTGAATTTGTATCCCATATAATTCAATGGAAATGTGTATCATTCAAATTCTCTTCACACGCACATATACTAAACGCATGCAACGAATATAAATGATTATTCGATACGCGAAGAATTCTGGCTGTTAAAGTATTACACACTCGCAGCACTGCTGCGTAAAATATATACAATCTACAACGCAAGAATCATTTTCAGATTGGGCGATTGGCTTGGTTGTCTCCGAGTCGAATCCATTTCTTTCAATTTTCGGTTGTGGCTCGGGAACCGGAAGCACTGCTTGCGTGATAGGCACTGCATTCTCAATCGTCTCGGCATCAGTATTCAATAATTTATTCGTCACCGGAGTAGTAGGTGTGGTTGGTGTGATTTTACCAGAACAGGCTTCGTCTGGTATATCGTAATCTACCAAAGGTACAGAAGTCTGGAGTGGTGGAGGTGAATCACTGGACATGATGACACTAAAACAAAATTTCTTTTAAATTTTTTTTTGTTTCTTTTTAAACAAATATTTTATTTTTCACTTACAATAAAAAAATATTCAATATAAATTTTTTAATAAAATTAAAATTGATTTGCATATTTTTATTTCAATCAAGTATTTATTTTGTATTATTTTTCATAATAAAAACATAATTATTAAAAACTAAGAGTATGGCATGAAATATAAGATTTATATTTATTTATTTTATTAATTATAATCATATATTCTCTAGAAATACGCATAATTTTTTTCATGAAATAATTTTTCATGGAAAACTTTATGAGAAAATTTAAAAAAAAATTAAATTTTTCTGTAAATTGAATTTAGAATTATATATTGCTCTCTTGATCTGATCAATTGGTGCTTTGTTATTCACATTTGACACATAGTTGACCCTAGTTTCTTTACTATTCAACTTAAGTTAGTCAACTTAAGCATTATTCGTGCTTATCGCAATGCACCTAAATATTCATCATTTAATTCGAAGTATGTTGAATGCTTATATTTTCCTGACTAAATTGATCTAATTATTTTATATTTTTTGATTTGTCGTAATATAATTATTTATATAATAACTATATAAACTATATAAAAGAATTTATATAAACTATAAAAAAATATCGATAATAATCAAAATCGTAATCTTATAGTATTATTCGAATATTCATATAAAGATTTAGTGTTTGATACAAGAAAAATATGGACTACACCTAAGACATTCTTTCATTAAATATTATAAAGGGTTTCTATCTTTTTCTCTTCTTCTTCCTTTTAAATACTTGGTAGAAAGTGTAAAGAAAAAGACATACCACCTAGCTTTCATACATGGTTGCATTCTACTCTTTTCTTCTGACGTCAAAGTAGAATAAAAGGATATTTGCTTGGCCATTTTGTAAGTATCGCAGATTTCAAGTGATTAGAATCATGCCATCTCATGTGAAAATATGCCTCAAGATTCGTGTTTCGAATTGTTTATCCTTCTTCATCAATACTGCGAATAGAGCGCCACATCTCCCTTCCTGTTTTATTCCAAGTTCACACATCACTGATCACACATTACATTATCCAATTTTGTATAATTTCGATTAAATAAAATAAAAAAATTTAAGTTTTGTTTTTTTGATAATTAAACATGCAATATTTTAATAACACGATCTTAACGTATTAATAAAAATAAAGATATTAAAAATGTTTTATAATATATTAAAAATTTAAATCAGTCCTTGATTTTGAAAAATATTGAAAAATTAGCTTACAGTTAGTTTATAATCGAATATTTTTATTTTTTTATTTTCAATTAAAAAATAAAACAAAAATCATTTTCATAAATTACATGAATTACATAATTATTATTTCGAGAAAAAACGAGCGACTTCTATTAAATAAATTCTTGCAGTTAATCAAGACTACTAATATGACAACAGTTTCTATTGATTAAATACATGCATTGTCCATTGAAATATATTTGCTCATAATAAAACGATCGAGCTTCAGTTTATGCATTTATATATAACATTATACGAAATATTATTTAATTAAGTGTAAAGTATAAAATTTAAATTCAACAATTTCATAATCAAAATTGTTAAATTATTTAATAATTGATATAATAATAAATTTTTCTTTATCAATTAAAATTTCAATAAAGAAAATTATATTCATTCACCAATAAAATAAAATAACTGGCTTATTTTATGCTTAATAGAATATATTCGCACTTGAAGATTTACATGAAAAAAGAAATACCCTACACGTCATGAAATAAAAACTCGTCATAATGAATTCACACCAGAAATACTAGAAATAATTTACATTCGAGACGAACATTTTGTTATTATATAAATTATAATTATGATATATTATATTTTATATATATATTTGTATATTATATATGTATTATATATAAAAAATTAATCAATAAAAATTAAAATCGTATCAAATTTTTTTAATTCTACTTATGATAGTTTGATAACATCGATAGTTATTTCGATATTCGAATCACCATTGTTCAGTTACTAGAACAAGAATTCTTTATAAATATAATTTCTTTGTTATTATATAAACATATCAATTCAATGATTTTAATTATAGTTAAATTAATTAATATATTAATGATAATATTCATAAAATAAATTAAAAATAAAAATTAAAAAATGAATAAAGAAAAACAATTTCATTAAAATCAATTAGCAAAACTGAATTATTTATTACTAAAAAATTCTAGTATAAACAAATTGTTCGTCTTATCTTTACAAAAATTTAACAAGTATATCACTTCACATTTTAAAATTCATTTATATATTTATTCACAATCACGAAAGTACGGAATAATTAACAATTGCATGTACTATTGTTATAACTTTTATATTATATTTTTATAAATAAATTACACTATAAATAATATTTTTTTTAAATATTAATTTTTTATATTAAAATATTTGGTATACCGCGAAACATGAGCAGTTCGTGTCTCGATCTACGTTGAACTGCTCGATCTAACTCTTAATATTTCTATCCCGCGTGTATACTTTTCACGTGGATACAGGAGCGTATCTTTCTACGAAAATCACCCTTCTTTCAAATAAAAATAATTTATTTTTAAAAATTCAAAAAAAATTACTAAATGGTTAAATATTAAAAATTAAATATATAATTATTATTTAATGATAATTTATAAAATATATAAATTTGAAAATGAATTAAATTTACATAAAAATATTTAAATATGTATTTATATTACTTTTTTTAAAATTAATTTTGTAAATTAATTTAATATAACAAAAGAAATAAATATTTTATATATATATTTAGTTAATGATTTTAAAATAGTTTTAAAATAATATGTCTATACGCTCTTATACAATAATATCTATAAAGTAAAAGGATCTTATTGGAAACAACTTAAAAAGAATGTTCGACGAATGAAAGTTTCATAAAACCACAAGCGGGATTAGTATCACTTTTCAGAAAATTACATAAGCAAAAAATTTATTATTATTAGAACTATGAATATGAAAAATAAACTATAAATTTTATGAAATTATTTATGTTCAAATCTCTAATACAGTTATATTGAAATTAGATTTTTAGTAATATGTTTACATACAAAGGCCACATAGTACTTCATTAAAGAAGACTTACTTCCACAAATTAAAACACATTACATTTCATTTAATATCTTTACATATATCTCACAGAAAATGTATAATTAAATACTTCGTTTCATTCCCTTACATTTTTATAATTGCAGTAGCATTTATTTTATCGCTATTATAAAGGACTTTTTTTTTAAAGGTTATTTGTAATCACATATTTAAAACTTCGATCTTCAATTAAAATTAGAATTATCACAAATGTAATAAAAATTATCTTTATAAAAACAAAATTTAAGAAATTGATATTTTTTATTTGATAAGAATAGATATTTTTATTTTTAAATTAAAAAAAAGAAAAAAAAAGAAAACTACATAAAAATAAAATTTTAAACATTATATGTGAATATTTCGTATGAGTTTTTATAATAAAAAGTGAAAAAAATACTTAATATTTTAATCAAATTCAATCGATTAACGATTGAGGAAATGAGAACTAAAGAATCAAAATTAAACAAGAGAGAACAAGGGTGAGAAAAGAATGCTTAACCTCGAAATCTGCCAAATCGGTTTATTGAACTTACTCATAGGATCCACGTTGTAGCAATAGATTTTTAAAACGCATAACTTCGTGATTAGTAAAACAATTATTGAAACAAACTATCTCGATTGCGCTTGTTTATATTCACAAATTACCGTACGAAAAATCGAAATTATATAGAATCTCAATTTCAACGAGCGACGAGCATGCAGATACACGAAAGACTGGCAAGAGACAAGCAAAGTATACACAGCAAGCGGGGAGCAGGTGAGGTAAAGACAAAACTTGCCGGGTGAACGACAATCATTTAATAAATTAAATATTAACAATTTATATAATAATTCTTCAATTCGAAATTAAATTTATATTACATAAAAATTTAATATTATTATTAATAAATATCTAAAACTTTACATGCAAAATTTTTACAAATATAATGGTTTTATAATATTTGACTATCGATAATTAAATGAAATGAAAAATGTATATTAATTTTACTTAATTACTTTATTAATATTATTAAGAAACAATTATTGGTATTATTAAATCATAAAATATATGTGATTAATCTAATTATTATATAATAGAAATATAATAGTATTATTAAACAACTATTTTGAATGCATATACAACATAACAAGACGCGCATGCGTCACAAAACAGATTCTAATCTTTCATAATATATTTTGTTATATTTTAAAAATTTTTCTTATATTCTATTTTTATCAAATCTATATTATTTTCTATATTATATATTATATAATATATAAAATCTTTTTAAAAATATATACTAATATAATTTAATGATTGAAAATTTAATTTATTTTGATTTATTTATTATTACTACTTAAAATATAAGGGATATAAATTGATCCAGACTAATGCACCCTTCTTTTTTTGTTACGATATTCCTATTATTCAATATATTAAGAACCGGATGTATTTTTACTACCGACAAACCTTTCTCAATATACGATTATGAAGTTCCTTATTAACATTGGATAAACTTATTAGAAAAAAATTTTAAAATAGTTACTTAATATAAAAATATAATAAATTAGAACAAATTAATTTAATAAACATAGCGTTTAAACTAATTTTAAAAATAAATTTATTTAAAAAAAATAATATGTATTATATAAATTTGATCATTTCTTTATAAATTTAATTCAGCGTATAATGTTATTAATTTTTTTAATCTAGATTTTATTGAAGCATTTCTTTTTAATTTATTTCATCTTTTAATATACACATAAGCGAATCATATAAAACCGGTTTTAAAGCGAGATGGATACAGAAGAATAAAATTTTTCAAATTAATGGCTTTTGAAAAAGTCATAGATAAATTGAATCATAATAATTTATTTTTTTATTTTTATAATATATATGTAAATAAATAAATAATATAATTAATTAAAAAAATTTTCAAGACTGAATGTATAATTTAATTTTTTATTTTCATTAAAAATAGATTATAAATGTTTGTATTTAAAGTACCATTTTCAAATATGCACTTGGATATTGCTTAACACATTTATTTCGTTTACCTTCAAAGATGATAGATTAAATTACTTCTTCACCTTCGCAGAAGTCACTTGACACCACAAAGCATCAGTCATGACATTAAGAAATAAGAATAAATAAGAACAGAGTATCAAACACTAATTCATAAAAATATTTCCATACTCATTATCAATATTACGACATATATCAATAAAAAGATAAATAATAATCGAAAAGCATTTTAATTTTTCCATATTTTTTGATTCTTAATAGTGTGTTAAAATATACAAAAACAACATAGAAGACAAATAAAAAATTCATATCATTTTTTTAAATAATTTTTAATACAATTTTTAAAATATGTAGATTTACCTTTCAGATGTACAAGGAATTTCTTCCGCATAAACATCAGCACGTGTGGTTATTGTTCCGTTTCTCATCGTACCGTAGTTGTCGCATAACAAAAAAGGAAGTGGTGTTGATCCTGAAATTTAGTTGTCGTTGACGCTTCGATTATTTTTGATCACATTTTGCGTGAAGTCATCTTCTTACTTTGTCTTATTAGATCATGCATATTGTTTCGCGTTATATGTTCGATGTTCAAGGTTTTTTGCATGCAATCCTTATTACTTTTTTATTTTACGATTTTTAATTGTCACGTCATTTTTAGAAATCTTTTCACTTCGATCAATCTTTTATATTTTATATTAATCTCGCAATATTGTTATAAATTTTATTTTATTAAGTATTAAGTATTAAGTATAACGATATTAAAGATTTTTTTATATAGAAGCATATATAGATATATGCATATTATATTATATTATATTATCACATAAATCATTTTAAAAAGAAAACTTTCTAACACTTAAAAAAAAAAATAAAAAAATTTTATACATGTGGAGATTACAAATGAAATGTTTTGCTTGCATTTTAAATATTAATACACTATAATAATGCACGATAACTTAACCTCTCCTTTCACTTCAGTGGCTCAAGAGCAACTAATAGTAACAAATGTTCTACTCTGCTGTGGAAATATGAACTACTGCCATCGATAGAGACGAATAGAAATGAAATAAACTTAAATATTATTAAAAAATGTTTTAATATCAATAAATAGAAAGATATTAATAAACAATATGTTTTTTTTACTTTAAGAAATAAATTTAATATTAAAAATTAAAAATTAAATTTATTAGAAATTTCAAATTAAATATTAAAAATTACAATAAAAAAAGAAAAATTACAGTTTTATAATTTATCATGTAAATTTTAATATTGAAAATTTTTCAAATTAATAAAATAAATAATAACTTAAAATTTTAAATAAATAATATATAACAGTTATGTTTGTATTGTATTTAATTTTAAACATTAAAAAACATTAAACATTAAAAAAGTTACAATTTATATAACATTATAATTTAATGTTAGGTTTTTCATTATTTAAAAATTTAACATTGTTTACAAAATTACAAAAATTATGATTATTAAAATAGATATTAATTGTTGCGCATGCGTGGAAAATTTTATAATGGTATCATTCTTTCTTATGATTGCGTCGTTTGTGGCATAGAAAACGCTTTCATTTACGGCTTTTGATTGGAGTTAAATTTTACAACTTACTATTTTTTTATGTTTGAGTAATTATTATTAATAGTAGAGCGTCATTAAAAGAAGGGAGAAAGTAAGAAAAAATTGAATATGGGTCGCTATAGAAGGTAAGCCATATATGTATAGATATGTGAAAATGCATGTTATCAATATGTTCAATGTTCAGTACTAATATCACATATTTGAAGTGAATATATTTAAATAGCAATTGTTCGCAGTACAGTAGAAAAAATTATATATAAAATGAGAAATAAGACTATAAAACTAAGGAGAGATTCTAAAGAGATTTATATTTTTACAGCCATTATAACCTTCTGCATATTTTTGATATAGACTTCAAAAGAATTTATATATATATACATATTACAAAATTTAAAATAATTTGAATTTTTAAAATTAATAATAAAATAAAAATGTTAGATGATATTTTAAATAAATTAATTAAATAAAATTACTATAGATTTAATATATTTTAAAAGAAGTATATATTATGTTAAAGAAATAGATAATAAAAATATTTGTATTTTTTACTTAGAAAATAATTTATATTTTAAATTTATTTTAGATATTAATAAATATTTTGTATTTTATTTTTTAGTCGTAGTCGTGATAGAGATAGGAGACGTAGATCTCGTAGCAGATCTCGTAGTAGATCACCAAGAGATAGAAGAAATTGGGGTGGTAGTGGAGGCAGAGATCGAGGTGGTGGTAGAAATAGCCGTGGGCAACCTGGAGCAAATTTAAGAAAACCTAGATGGGATTTAAGTCGATTAGAACCTTTTAAAAAAGATTTTTATGTACCACATGAAGCAGTTCAAAACCGTGATCCACGTATAGTTGAACAATACAGAAGTGAAAAAGAAATTACCCTTAAGGGAAAAAATATACCTAATCCTGTATTTACATTTGAAGAAACAGGTTTTCCAGACTATGTTCTAAAAGAAATTAAGTAAGTTCTTTTAAAATAATAATTTTGTTTAAAATAAAAATGCTCCAAATGAATAAGTATTTACAATGTACAATTATTTTACAATAGTGATATTAGAATTTGTTTCTTAAGTTTAGAACAAGTATCCAGTATGCGATGACATGTACATTGTCAAGAATACTATCACACAGAACTTAAAACTTGTTTATTCTGGAACTTTTAACTTTCATCAGATCAAGTAAGAACAGAAGTAGAGTTGTTAGGATTTTAAGATAAAAACAGAATAGCAAAACATTAAAATTGATAAAAAAATTTGATTGAAATAAATATTGAAAAATTTGATTTAAACATTTATGCAAAATGAGATCAATTTGATTTAATGGATTATAAAAGAATTGTTGTTATTTATAATTTTCAGACGACAAGGTTTTACAGAACCTACATCAATACAAGCACAGGGTTGGCCAATTGCTTTAAGTGGAAGAGATATGGTAGGAATTGCATCAACTGGTTCTGGAAAAACACTATCTTATATACTTCCTGCAATTGTTCATATTAATAGTCAACCTAAATTAGGTCGAAAAGATGGACCTATTGCTTTAGTTTTAGCTCCAACACGAGAGCTTGCACAACAAATTCAACAAGTTGCTGATGATTTTGGTCATTCCTCTGGTATTAGAAATACATGTTTATATGGTGGAGCACCAAAAGGTGCACAAGCTAGAGATCTAGATGGTGGTGTAGAGATTGTTATAGCTACACCTGGTAGATTGTTAGATTTTCTTGAATCAGGACGTACAAATTTAAAAAGATGTACCTATTTAGTATTAGATGAAGCAGATAGAATGTTAGACATGGGATTTGAGCCTCAAATTAGAAAAATCATAGAACAAATTAGGCCAGATAGACAGACATTAATGTGGTCTGCTACATGGCCTAAAGAAGTAAAAAATTTAGCTGAAGATTTTCTAAAAGATTATGCTCAAATTAATGTTGGATCTCTACAATTAGCTGCAAATCATAATATATTACAAATTATTGATGTATGTCAAGACTATGAAAAAGAAAATAAGTAAGAGATTAAGTATATATTTAAAAAACTATTTATATGTCAAAAAAATATTAAATTCTTCTATTTCTAATATTATTTTTATAGATTGAGTACCCTTTTAAAAGAAATAATGGCAGAAAGTGAAAACAAAACTATTGTATTTATTGAAACAAAACGCAGAGTAGATGAAA